AGTAAGAGATCTTAGCGTTTTCACCGAAATCCAGGTCAGATGCTGATACTGAGAACAGTATAGAACCTGGTACTCCGTTCTCTTTTAAATACACAGCATAGGTGGGCTGAGTGAATACAGGTGGATTATCATTAACATCAGTAACTGTGACATTAATCGTCTTTTTAGTCGATAGAGGAGGAGAGCCTGAATCAGTGGCTGTTATCTCAACATTATACTCGGAGAAAGTCTCTCTGTCTAACGCACCGGCAGTAACCAGAGCGTAATTATTAGAAAAAGAGGGTTTCAGGTTAAAAGGAGAACCCTTGGGAAGCTGTAATGTCACTTTACCGTTGTCACCGGAGTCCAGGTCTCGAGCAGTGAGCAAAGCCACTACTGTGCCACTCGGTGCGTCTTCAGGTACTTTGCTAGGTTTTGAAGTCAGAACAATTTCTGGAGCATTATCATTTATGTCTATTATTTCCACTTGCACCCGACAGTGGCCTTCATTTTCAGGAATGCCTTTATCTTTTGCAGTAATATCTATTTCATGTGTAGCACTGTTTTCGTAATCTAATTGTCCTATTAAGAAAATTTCTCCTGTCACCGAGTTTATCTGAAAAATAGACATCAGTGTCTCCGGTGTGTGGTCAGCAAATGAATATTCAATTTCTCCATTAACACCTTCGTCTGGGTCTGTTGCTTCTACTTTTGTGAGCATGAAGCCACTTTGACTGTTTTCAGGCACAGTTACTTTATATAAAGGTTTTTTGAACGTAGGGACATTGTCATTGTTGTCTAAGACAGTCACAATAATCTGTGATGTTCCAGTTTTGACAGGGTTGCCTCCATCTAACGCTGTCAACAGCAACTGATGGACGCTTTGTTTTTCTCTGTCAAGCGGCTTTTCTAATACAAGCTCTGGTACTTTTCTTCCATTAGCCAGTTCTTTAATTTTTAAACTAAAACATTCGTCTTTGCTGAGACTGTACGATTTTAGCGAATTACTACCCACGTCGAGGTCCTGTGCGGTCTCCAAAGGGTAACGCGCACCCACCGCTGTCAGTTCTGGAATTTTCAAATTCTTTTCTTTGCTCAAGAAACTGGGAGAATTGTCATTAACGTCTTTTATTTCCACCTCTATCCGGTAAAGATGTAGGGGGTTCTCTATTACTACTTGCAGAGGTAGAACACAGCTGGCGCTTTGTCCACATAAAGCCTCTCTGTCTATTCTGTCATTCACCACCAGCTCGCCCTTCCCCGCATCCACACTGAAATACTGCTCACCAGTCTCAGAGGCGACGCGCAGTTTACGGTCAAAAATGTCTGATAGTCCTAAACCCAGATCTTTGGCTAAATTTCCTACCACAGATCCCTGTTTTAGTTCCTCCGGGATGCTGTAACGAGTCTGTCCGTCTATTGTAATCCACAAGAGAAAGAAATGATGCCACCAAAGCGCCTGCCATCTCCAGTCTCGGTATCTGATTCTCTTTGTCATCCCCGGTCCGTTAGAATATGTTATTCCCCATCGATATATTGTTCACATAACCAGGCCGACATTAATTCCAGCGCCAGAAGGAAAACTCCATCATAAATGAGTCCGCAAAAGCATCATATTTACAAAACCTTAGATTCCTGAAACCGTCGGATAAACGCATATCCTCTCCACCTCTGAGCACTGTGAGGGTTACCGTGCTGAGACTAAATGGGGGATGGAGTAGATCGCTTTGTACAGTTCTCTTTTCTATTGGTTCACAGCATCCATCTGAGCTATCCAATCACTGAGCTCTAACATTGCTGCTGAGGCTACTGCACTCCCTCTGTTGCAGTAAGAACATGACATCCTTAGTGGAGAGTTGGTTTGTGTGATAGAAAATGCAATAAGATGAAGAGTAAAAAAAAGGACTTATTGTGCCGAAGTAAAACTCCACTAAACATGTTTTTTCATTGGTCACTGCTGCTACAAATAATGACAAGTGAATTGTTACATTTATATTAATATGTAATGTTAATATGATTTAAAAAAAGATGATAAAATACGTTTGAAAATGGTAACGTGACTGATATTTGTATTACATTCTCATCTCAGAGGAATGATGACCATAATATATTATACATAAGCTAACTTTCTCAGAAAATGTGTGTTATTCAAAACTTTTTTCGAAATCCCCGGTGCAGGAAAATGTCAAATACACAGACTTTTCAACAGCATAAACAAAAAAAAGCTTATTTGGAAGAGCGATATTATATCATTTTGCATAAGGCACAGAAAGAAAACAATCACCACAGATAATGCGTACAATTCCATTCCCTGAAGAACACCTCTGTTTGAATGCATACTGTCAGGATATTAAATGACAATAATGATCAACAATAACGGATAGATTAGGCATTCTCAATTCATATGTAGGTCATTTTTAAATTTAAAATATTCTGAGATTTCATGGCAAAATTTAAATCATATATCTCAAGCTGCAGACAGAAAATCTGTCTGTTAAATTAAAAAAGAAGAAGAAAATAAACTGCATTGCTCTTCTATATATTAATAAACACAGTTTACAAGTTAAAAGTGGAACGTATGTGCCGATGATGCC